ACGTATCCTTCTTGGCGCCCGCGTAGAAGCATGCCCGCTTGACGCCGCTGAAGCACGCATTCATGCCCTCGCCGCGCTTCCCATTCAAGTCCTACGCCATCTGCGACTGCCTTTGAACAACAATATATGGGCCTCTTGCGGCGGTGTGGCCGCGAAGATGTTCGTCTCTTCTGAAGGGTGCCTCATCTGCTGCGCTACTGACCAAGACCGATATTGTGGGTTGCTCTCATCACCGTTGTTAACGTCTATCAATATTGCCCCGATCGGGGCCTTCCCGGTAACGGCCCAGCAAGCATCCTCCTTGACCTTCGCGCATGCATTTTGAACTGCTCCATGTCTTATAACCTGGCATCGGCCGTCAAACCTACATCTGACTCCGCCGCTAACGCGTCGTCCCACGCATGCGCCTTTCCATGCGTCTCGTGGTGGATAACAAGCACGGGCTTCCTTTCCAAGGGTCTGACTTCCCCGATTGCCCCGCAGGCCTCTCGCGCGCCTAGCGCATCTAACCAGTCAGCGCGTCCGCAGTCCCGGCAATCCTACTTGCGCGGCGGTGCGTCTCCCATAGCTCGGCAAGTGAGAGGGGAAACAATGTTTCTGGGGTCGCACTTGAACTCCTGCATGCGAGCGAGCGTCCTGTGCCTAGGTCTCGAGCAATTCGTCGGGCACGCTGTCTCCACGTTGGTCCTTGTTCATCGGGTAACATCAGTCTGGCGGTTGGTGCCATGGCCCTCGCGCGCCCATTCCAGCTCATTGCAAATCGGAACGTCGGTGTACTGCGCCTCTCCGACGCGCGCGAGTTCCTCCTCGGCTGGTTGATGGGTAAGGTAACTTCAGCTGCTCTGAATGAACGCCCGTGTCTTTCATCATCCTTCATGTGCCTAACCAGCCCTCAAAACATCGCCTGGCGTAGTCGATCTGGGTATATCACTGACCTCTTAGAACGACCACCTCCTGTTAGCTCCGTCTGTCGACTTTGACCTTGGCGCTCCAGGTTAACTCCCCGGCCTGCGCTATCGCCGTTGACCGTGAGCCGCGCGGGCTTTTTGGCGAACAACAATGCGATGTACTAATGCGTTTCATGTCGCATTCGCCCGCGTCTCCCATGCGCGCATCAACTCTGAGTTGCCCAAGTTACCTCTGCGCTGGAACAGCGCTCCAGCTCGCGGCTCTGGATGGATGCCCCAATGAGAAGTATAGCCCGTCTCTTCTCGGCATGTCACATAGTTCGATTGCGGGGCTCAGGGTTAAAACTCTCTGTTCCACAATTTCCTTCAATCTTCGCTCGCCTAGCGTCTGAATGCCGGATGTCTGAAGTCCGCCGAAGTTGGCGGCGCGCAGAAGAGGGGTGGCTTCTTAGAAACGCCCTTCCTTCGTAGAAGGCGCCGGCCCTACATCCGCAGACGTGGCCTGCGCCTCCCAAGGGGTAGGGGTGCTTCTACGGGCCCTTCCCCCCCCCCCCGCCCCCCCTGCGCGCGGCCGATGGTGGCCGCGCGCGCTGCGCTGGCAATTAACAGCGATGCTGGGGGGCACGCCTGGCGAGCATGCGTTCGTACCGCGCGTTGCCCTTGGCCGCGTAGCCTGGCTGCCCCCCGGATGTTGCTCCCTTCCTTCATGGTGCTCCGACTTGCGCTAACTAGCCAGTCAGCAGCACCGTTACTAAATCCCTGCATCTCCATGCCTTGCGTGATCTGGCCCACGCCCACGTCTTCCTCTTCTGACGCTCGAGCATTCTGCGCGGCCGATGATGGCCGCGCGCGTTGGGCCAGCAATGAACAGCGATGCTAGGGAGCATGCCTCGCTAGCATGCGAATGTACCACGCATTGCCCTTGGCCGCGTAACCTGGTTGCCCTCCGGATGTTACTTCCTTCCATCCTGGTCACCCAACTCGCGCTAACTAGCCAGTCAGTAGCATCGTTACTAAAACCCATCATCTCCATGTTTTGCCAGATCTGACCCACGCCCACGTCTTCCCGTTCGGGCGCTCGAGCATTATCCTTTTGTTCGTCCTCAACATCAATTTCACCGCCACTCTTCTCGGGCGCCCTCGCAACTATAGCCGAGGGTGGCGGTGGAACTCTCGGCGCCGGCGCGCAGTCCAGCGCGGCGCAAATCATCTTCCAACGCGCGAATTCGGCCAATTCCGCGGTTAATCGCGCGGGCCTTCCGACTCGCCCCGAACTTTAATCGTTCCCCGTTTCTCTCAGCAGCGGGAACCGCGCTGGGAACATGCAGCTCCTTCCTCGAGAACTCGGCGCCGTGCGATTGCTGTCGCCCCTGGCGGCCCAGGTATCTGTTCGCTCCGCTTCGGCCCACGCGCGGGCGCGCCCCCCCCCCGCCCCCCGCGCGTCAGCCGACGCTTCTGATTGGCGCTGAGGCCAGTCTCTCTTTCACGCCATGACCGCCTTGTTCCTTGAACCGCCCAGTGGCGCGCTGGCGGCGCGAGGGGTTGCGAGGCCCGCGCGCCTCATTTCCCTGCGCTGGGGCACTGCGCCCATCACGCCCAATTGCTCTGATGCCTTAACCGCAATTCCTCTGGCTATGATTGGTTCTGCGTCCGCCATGCCCTCGTCTCCAGAAGATCTCACTGCGGGCGCTGCGATGCGAGTCTCTACTTCGTCGCCCGCTGCGCTGGGGCCTCGTGGCCGCGGCAGCCCTTGCGCGGCGACGACTTCCTCAATGTTTCACCTTTTTCTTTCTCAAGTCCATTCCTCTTGAGCTCGTTGGCTTCAATGGCCCGGCGCGCCGTTCCCATGGCCAACTCCTGGCTGTCCTCGGCGATGCTGGTAAGTACTCCACATTCTCACTTGGGCTCTGGCTTCTCTCTGCTTCTCACATGAAGTCTTGTCGAATATCGCGCAAACCGCAAATTCGGGCAACTGTCCGTTGAACATTCGGCCCCTCGCATCTCTCGCGGGCCGTCTCTCCGTCGGTGTCAAATGCGAACTGACTGATGGCCGATGATGCATGCGACACTAGATCATGGTGCAAGAACGCGGCCCTTACCGAATTCAGTTCCGTAGTTCCTATCAAACGCAGCTCTCCCGGTGCTAACTTGTCCTCGCGCTGTTCTGGTGGCCTTTTTTCGACGTCACCGTTGGGCCGATAATCTCCACACGGGCTGGCTTCCACCCCCATGTTCAGATCGCGCGAGCCTTTCACTGCATCTTTGAGGGCAACCGTCGTTGGCTCACCATCACCTTTCACTATCACTTGTTTGTGGCCCGCGAAGGCAATCATACCGCCCACTGTCTCAAATGAATGTGCGACCGTTCCCTTCCTGAGAACTACCTTACTCCAAATTAAGTTGCGTGTCCCGACAGTGTACCACTAATACGCACTTGCCGCTCTCTGTGCCCTTACCGTCGCCCGACTTGCTTTCTAACCACATGTAGCCGACTGGAACAATCGGCACCCTCCAATCTCCATTTTTCACGTTCGGCGGTTGCACCTTCTGGTTTTGCCGCTAAGGCAATGGGGGCGCCAACTTCGGTGAGGTAGGTGAGTTGCGTTGTGTAGCTCCACTTCTTCATTACTTGGTTTCGCGTCGCAAATGCCGTCTTCGGCAACTCTGCTTCCTCGCCCACAAGCGCACTCTCTACATAACCCAAATCAGTGCCTTGATCATCTTCCTCCCTTGCTTCACTATATCCAAAAAACAACGGTTGTCTTAATGGGCCCTGCTGGTTGGCGAGGACCTAGTAGAAACGGTCCTCTGCTAAGCCCCCCCCGCCTCGGACAACCCTTACTCCTGTTAACTTCCTGCGCCCGCCTACTCTGGTCCTCACCTCCTGGTTTCCTGGGCACCTTGATGTTGAATTAGTCCCCCACTTATCCTTAGCAACTGTTCTGCGCCCACCCTCTGTTCTCCAAAGAACTGCAGGACATTCCGTTTTCGTCTCTGTCCAACAGAATTTCGTTACCAATGTCCAAGAATTTTCTGGCCGACCCGAGTACCGTACTTCCGTCAGCAGCTTGGATGGGCATGGGAACCTCAGTTCCGTCCTCACTTTTTGCCCTCGATTACTCTCTGATCGTAGTTGCGCAGAACGGGCCCGTTGGCGGCGCTGTAGTACTTGCCGGACTGGAACACCCCAATGGGTTTAACAAGACAGCATGAACCAACCTGTGGTGGTCCCACACATCTATGGACGCCCATGCTAAGTGTCGCGCCCGGCGTGTCGAACCCATCCTGCTGCTGATTGTGAAGGACCACGTCAACTCCAAGATCGTTGTCTGGCCCCTTCCACGAAATGCATTTCCGCATACCTTCTATCTCTGAAGCCATCTTGGGCCATTCTTGTACATCACTCACGGGCCCGCGGAAAAAAAAAACGTAGACGAACCCGAATTCTTGCGAAGTCAAGTCGTACTTCTCCTCCAGGGAAGTGGGGAGGGAAAGTGGCGCGGGTGGGGGCCAGGGGGTGGGGGGGGCAGAGGAGGGAGGGGGAGAGGGCAGGGGTGAGGGGAGGGCGAGGGCAAGGGTGCAGAAAGGAGGAAGGGTTTGGAAAACGAAAGTTGTTGAAGAACTACAGGGAAAGGGGGCTGGAGGAAGGAGGCCACTGCCGATGCTGAGTGGTGCCGCCGATGAGGGGTGGGGGGCGGGGCAAGGGAAAAGGGAAAGGGAGGAGGGAAGCGACGTGGGAGCAAGGAAAAGAAACGAACGAACACAGGGTGAAGGAGGGAACACGGGGGGAGGAGGAGGAGGAGGTGGAGGAGGAGGAGGAGGAGGAGATTTACAGAGATTTGGCCTCTCGCCCCCTGCGAGTTGGCAGCCCGTCGCGCGGTGCGGCGGGCACCCCTGGCGGCCTCGGGGCTCCCCCCTCAGGGGGACGAGGGGGGGTCCCCCGAGGCCTGCCCTCGCGCTGCCGCCACGGCTGCGCTTCTCGCACGGGCTGGCAGCGCCCGCAGGTTGCTGCCACCGCCCGTCCTTCCCTTCTTTCATTCTCACACGGCGGCCCGATCTCAGCACTGTAGCTGGGCTCGTTGGGCTGCCTTATCACAAGCCTCCAGTTCCGTATATCCACTCTTCGATCGTCGGCACTCTGGAGGTTCGGGTCGCCTGCTTGCGCCCGAATTTTCGCGCCAGCCACCTTTCGTGGCTCGCCTCCGACTCGCGCGCTCCGTTCCCAGGTCTGTAGCTAGGGTAGATAGTTGGCTCTAGCTTCGCCTCCCGCTTCTCGCATGTGCCGCCCAGCTCTCCCTTCTCGCACAACCACTTCGTGGAGATCCGAGCTCTAGCTCGCCACATCGCCATGCTCCTCTTCACTTCCAGCGCGGCGGAGAAATCGGGTGGTTCCCCCTTCGCCTCCGACTTCTCGCACGCGCTGTTGTGGCTAGGGTTAGGGGAATTGGGCTCCAGCCTCGCCTGCCTCTTCTCGCACGCCCTGATTGCTGCGCTGTAGCTGCACATGTGGGGCTATCTCTTCACCTCCCGCTTCTCGCTCTCGCTGCTCCCAAAGCCGCAGTGAGGGTTGACGGGCTCCAGCTTCGTCTTCCCTCTCTCGCCCGCCGTGGCACCAGCGCTGTAGCTGCTCGTGTCGGGCTCACTCTTCGCATCCCACTGTCCTCGCACACCGAGCCCTGGGTTGAGGGTATTGAGGTGTGGCTCCAACTTCGCCTCCCGCTTCTCGCACTCGCTGGTCTCGAGGTCGTGGCTAGGGGTGTCGGGCTTCTGCTTCGCCTTCCCCGTCTCGCACGCCGTGATACCAGTGCTGTAGCTGATCGTGTCGGGCTCGCTCTTCGCCTCCCGCTGATCGCTCTCGCTGGTCTCAGGGACGTGAATATGGGTGTCGGGCTTCTGCTTCGCCTTCCCCTTCTCGCACTCCGTGGTGACGAAGTCGGTCTTCAGCCTCGCCGTCGCCTTCTCGCACGTGCTGGCCGCCGCACTGTAGCTGATCGAGTCGGGCTCGCGTTTCGCCTCCCGCTGATCGTACGCGCAGTTCCCAGCGTCGTGGTTGTGGCTACCTGGCTCTAACTTCGCCTGCTTCTTCTCGCACGTCCTGATTGCAGCGCTGTAGTTGGTCACGTTGGGCTCTATCCTCGCCTCCAACTTATCGCACGCTTCTCTCTCTTCGCCTCCCGGAAGCTGCCACTGCCACTGCTCTACCAGCAGCCAGTGGAAGTCCAACTCCGCCTGCCGGCATGTCGCCAGGCGCAGGCGCCTCCACGCACGCCGTTGGCTGGAGCTAGGGCGCCTCTCCCAACCTGGGGGCGCACACGGGGCCTCGGCCAGCGGCTGCACCACCTCCACGCGCTCGCGGCGCTGGGGGCGTCCCATCATCGCGGGCCCAGCCGCACCCGCCGAGGGCAAGACGGCTGCGCGGGGCCGCGCTCGGGCGCTCCCTAGGAGGAGGAGGAGGAGGAGGAGGAGGAGGAAGAAGAGGAAGAGGAATAGGAGGAGGAGGGGGAGGAGAAGCAGGAGGAGGAGGAGGAAGAGGAGCAGGGGTGACGGGGTGAGGGAGGGATGGAGGGATGGAGAAGAGGCGATGGAAGGATGAAAAGATGGGAATCGAAAGGGCAAGACAGTGGAGGGGACGGGAGATCGGGAAGGGAAGGGGACAAGGAGAGGACGGGTGCTCCCGGAACGGTGGGGCAGAGGACGCGGCATGATCCGTCGACATCGGATCTAAGGAAGGGGACAGACCGAGGACGGGTGCTCTCGGAGCGGTGGGGCAGAGGATGCGGCATGTTCCGTCAACGTCAGGTCTAGAAATCGGATCGGACGGGATGCGCATCAAATCCGACCGCATCGGCACGGACTCGAAATCCGATCAAACCAGCGGCGCAAAGGTGCACAACAACCCAATCCTAGCATCGGGGCGCATCGGAACGCCAGAACATTCGATGCCGATCGGCATCGAATCGGATTGGGCTGGCCGAAACCTAGATCGAATCGGATCGATCCGATCGAAGTGGGCCCCGAGGGGATGGGAGGGCACGGCATGTCTCCAACAGCGCCGCCCTGCTCGGCGTTCACCGATCCTCCTCCTCAGGACCTCCTCCCCCTCCTCCCCCATCGACCCTGGACGCCGCAAAACTCCGAGAGCCTCCGACCTCAGACCCTCCTCCATCCAGAAGCGCCTCGGAGCAACGGGCATTCGACCCCCGTGCTTCGCGATCAGATCCAGCTCAAGCCTGACACGCGCGGCCCAGGACCCCCTTTCGACGCGCAGGAGGAGGAATAACAACAATAACAATAATAAGAAGAAGAAGAACAATAATAATAATACTACTAATAATAACAATAATAATAATAGTAGTAATAATAATAATAATAATAATAATAATAATAATAATAATACTAATAATAATAATAATAATAACGATGCTGATAATAATATTAATAATAAGAATAGGAGGAGGAGGGGGAGGAAGAGGAGAAGGAAGAGGAGGAGGTGGAGGAGGAGCAGGCGGAGGAGAAGGAGGACGAGGACGATTAGGAGGAGGAAGGGGAGGAGGCTCAATCAGGATTAAACATATTGCAGAGTCCTACCTCTACCGTGTCGAAGGGACCTGGCGAAGCCCTGGAGAATACCCCATGGGCCTACCCGTGGTCGGGTGCTGGCCCTTCCACAAACGATTCAAACGACCCTGCGCATTGCCCCCGTGACCCTTGCACTCGCTAGACCTGGTATTCTGCCAACGCTTCTGAGCGTAGCAAGCTCATGCTCGGCAGAAAGCATAGCGTTGCCGAGTCACGAGCTGACGGCGGCTTCTTCGCACCAGCTCGGCTCGGAGGGCCTCGTCGGGGCCCGCTCCCTCTGGAGGCCCTCCAAGCCTGGCCAGTGGGGCGACCGGCCTCCCCAGAGGCCCGGCCCGTTCCCCCCCCCCCACCACACACGACGCTCCACGACCCCAACGCCCGTCCCACTAGTACTCGAGGCCTGCAGTGGCCCGGCCTTTACCGCGTCTACTACATCAGACGACAGTGCTAGGACTGTGGTATTAAAATGCAAACTACTCTGGAGCTTAGACTCGCACGTGTATTTTCTCGACGCGCCACTCGGGGTGCACTAGAGGGGCGGCCCCTAGCTTGGCTCACCTATCGGCCGCCCTGTTGCACTGAAAGTGCTTCGTGCCCATCGCCTGACGCTCGGCCACTGTGGATTGGGCCTTTTTCTATGTTGTCCTATCTGTACCATCTGAGGGCCCAATCCGCCGAGCTCCTCTAGGTGCCAGGCCCATCTCCATTGGCTGGCACGCGGGTTCGAGCAGCGAGTGCACCATTCCTTCCCGCGAGCAAAGCCGTCTACAACGCTTTTGTAGTCTGACCAGATTCTAAGCGGTACCATTCCAGCCTGCAAAGCCATGCGTGCTGCGTGCAATTCAGCACAGCAAATTAACTGCGCTGCTTGTGGCCGCGGCAACGGCACGTGCACGGCAAAGATCTGCTCTCCGCTGTCAGTGATTTGCGCATCACACCACCCCGCGTCTGATGGGGCCGTGTTTGCCGTGCCATTGTGAGCCATCAACGTAGACGTCACCCGCGAGGATGTCTGGGGCTATGCCTATCAGCGTGGCTCGGTCAGAGATCCCTATGCCTGGGAGCGCTGTGTTGGGGTCCTGCACGATGCCTCGACCCCAGCGGTACTTGGTGGCAGCTGTGGGTGCGCTGGTGGTCCCGAGCTGCTGCACTTCTGGGTTGCCTGCTTGCTGCCTCGCGCTCTGTCGCGCTGGGCAACAGAGAAACAAAAACGATGCTTGTCTGATTCCTCGCCGCCGCGCGCGGCGCATCTGTTGCTGGAGGCGCCCCCCTTGAAAAAGAGGCACTCCTGACCCCACATTCCCCCACGCGCCCTAGTGCGATGCTCTGGTCTGGCCACAACGGCCCGCAATGGCTCGATCAAGTCCAAGAAACGCCTGCCTCCGCACCCCAGCGTCGAGTCCACTCTCGCTGGATCTGCTGTTCACATTCTTGCACAACCTGCTCGTGTAGCCACCATGCGTCGGCCAGGCGCAAATCAGCACTGACCACCCCCATGGTAAGCGAGAAAGGCGCATGCGATTGCCAGCCCAGTCTGCGAGCCGTGGCCAAAAATGTCCCCGCAAGTCCTCGGACCAATGTCAATGTCCATGGCCGTGGGGACTGCGACAGGCGAATGCTCCAGCGCTTCCAAGCGGCCGTGAGTCGGTCCGCTAGCGCTGGGTCGTGTACCGTTTTCTTCCAAGCGCTGGCCTACTCCGCGATGGGGCCTGCGTTGGCGACATGCGCGGGGTCCACGCCCTCGCTTAGCAAAACAAGTGGCGCCGAGCGCCCTGCCACGCTGCCGCCGAAAGAGCTCGCGACGGCTTGCCGTGACCAGCTTCTTCGCTTGGCCTCCAGCTCTTTTCACTCCCGCAACCTTTCTTCCCACGGCTCTTCCACTTCTGGGTTCTCTCTTGTGCAGCGGACACTCGGCGGCGACGGCCTGCACAGACAGTGATGCCCAGGTGCTTGGCGTGGCTCACGGTCCCGATCCCGATCCTCTTGGTCGTGGGCTCCATGTCTTCGGCCAGCGCTGTGGACGATGTCAGCAGCAATGTTTTCCACGTCTGGCCCAGGGGGACTGGCATCCCGAACTCATTCTCCAGGCGGTCGATGACGATGCTAACCATTCTCGCGCGACCAGCTGCAACCCAGCGGCGCTCGCCCATGTGCGCGATCGACAGGTCGTCGAAGAACAGGCACAGCTCCGCGAGGCTGTTGTCCAGCTGGACTGTGTCGAGCTCCTTCGTCAGCACCCACTTGAGGGCGACTGGTGAGAAGGAGAGGAGGAGGAGGAGGAGGAGGAGGAGGAGGAGGAGGAGGAGGAGGACGAGAAGGGGGGGGAGGAGGAGGAGGAGGAGGAGGAGGAGGAGGAGGAAGAGGATGAACAGCAGGAAGAGGAGGAGGAGGAGGAGGAGGAGACAGCCCCGACCCTCGAGGCGGCCGGCCGGGCGCGGCGCTGCGACGGACCGCCCGCCTGCTTCAGCCCCGCCAGCTCGGCCTCTCGGCGCGCCTTCCTCTCCGCGTACGGCTCCGCCTTGGGGGGCCGCGGCCGCAGAGCGTGCCGACCAGGACCCTTGTGTTGGCAGAAGCCTCCCAGATAACTCCTCCTCCTCCGTATTCTCCTCCTCCCCCTCCCTCTCATCCTCCTCCGTATTCTCCTCCTCCTCCTCCGTATTCTCCTCCTTTTCCTCCCTCTCATCCTCATCCTCCCTCCTCTTCCTCCTCCTCTTTCCGTACTATTCATATTACTCTTCTGCGTATTATTACTATTATATTATTATTATTATTATTATTATTATTATTATTATTAGTATTATTATTATAATTATGATTGTTATTGTTATTATTATTATTATTATTATTATTACTACTATTATTAGTAGTATTAGTATTAGTATTAGTATTATTAGTAGTAGTATTAGTAGTAGCACTTGTGTTTTCAC